GGGTGAAAACCACACCTCAATATCTCTCTCCTAGCTCCCTCTACCTATAAAAAACGTTCCCTCTCCTCCATTTTCGGGTAAAACCCTAGATCTAAGCTCCTTCGCACCACCGGACACGTCTGCCCGCCGCCGGACATGTCCAGCGCCGCCGCCCCGTCCAACCCCATCGCGCCACGTCGCCCTGGTAGCCCCTCCACCGCGCCAGCTCCGCGGGGCCTGCCGCGCGCCCGCGCCCCGCCGCCTCACGCTCGCCCAAGCCTCCCACGCTGTCGGCTTCCTCCGCCGCCGCACCCCGAGCCCTGCCGCTGAACTCCGTCAGCGCCACCGCCGCCTTCGCCCGACCCCGCCTCCGAGCGTGCCGCCGCCATCCTCGCCGTCCACTGCTCCGTCGCAAGCCCCCGCCGCTGCACGCGCTCGCTGCTCGCTCCACCTCGCCGACCGCCCCGCGCCACCACCGCCGCCGCCGCCCCCGCGCCCGCCGCTGCCGCCCACCACTACCGCGCCGCCCTGCTGCGCCTCGCCTCACCGGAGTTCTCCATGCCTCGCCGAAATCCGCGCCATCGGTGGATTTGGTCAGGTGGACCAGATCCACCGGCTCGTCCAACCAAACGGCCTGCAGCACCCCTCCATCCCGGATCCGCCTCATCCCTGGTCGACAGCCTGGGCTAGCAGGGTGATGTCATTTGAGTTTCTGTTTGTGTTTCATCCGTAGTTAGATGTTGCTCTTATGTATGATGTTGTTGTATTTATGTGGCATTGTATGCCTTTTGTATGTATCCCCATCTATTATGTAATGGTATGATGTAATGATACCCACCTTGCAAAGCGTCTTGAATATGCGCTTCTATCCTTGGTGGGACCTTCGAGTTCCTCTCGGATAGGATCGCATATTGGGCATGACACTCTGAGTATCGGAAAAGTATCTCTGGGCGCTCTCGGTAATACACATCATAAGCTTGCAAGCAAATGACGAAGGAGTTGGTCACGAGGTGATGTATTATGGAACGAGTAAAGAGACTTGCTGGTAACGAGATTGAACTAGGTATGCAGATACCGACGATTGAATCTCAGGCAAGTAACATACCGATAGACAAAGGAAATAACGTATGTTGTCATAACGGTTCAACCGATAAAGATCTTCGTAGAATATGTAGGAGCCAATATGAGCATCCAGGTTCCGCTATTGGTTATTGATCAGAGAGGTGTCTTGGTCATGTCTACATAGTTCTCGAACCCGTAGGGTCCGCAGGCTTAACGTTCGATAATCATATTGTATTATATGAGTTATGTGATTTGATGACCAAATGTTGTTCGAAGTCCCGGATGAGATGACAGACATGACGAGGAGTATCGAAATGGTCGAGTGGTAAAGACTGATATATAGGGCGATACTATTCGGACACCGGAAGTGTTCCAGAGTGTATCGGGTATTTATCGGAGTATCTGAGGGGTTACCGGAACCCTCGGGGGTAATATATGGGCCATATGGGCCATGAGAGGGGAGCACACCAGCCCACAATGGGTAGCGCGCCCCCCTATGGCATGTGGCCGAATTGGAGAAGGAAAAAGGGGGTTCGCCCCCTTCCTTTCTCTCTTCCCCTTCCCTTTCTTCTCTGGTGAAAAAAGGAAAGGTGGGGGGGGGGCACTTGGGGAAACCCCAAGTAGGATTCGGATCCTACTTGGGGCGCCCCTGGCTGCATCTCCTCCCCTCCCACCCATATATATGTGGGGAGGGGGGCGCCTAGAACACACCAGATCAATTGTTAGCCGTGTGCGGCGCCCCCCTCCACCGTTTACACCCCCAGTCATATTTTCGTAGTGCTTAGGTGAAGCCCCACGGAGATCACTTCAGCATCACCGTCACCTCGCCGTCGTGCTAACGGAACTCATCTACTACCTTGCCGTCTTGCTAGAACAAGAAGGCGGATGACGTCACTGAGCTGAACGCGTGTTGAATGCGGAGGTGTCGTACGTTCGGTACTAGATCGGTTGGATCGCGAAGAAAGTTCAACTACATCAACCGCGTTGTGAAACGCTTCCGCTTACGGTCTACGAGGGTATGTAGACACACTCTCTCCCTCGTTGCTATGCATCTCCATGGATAGATCATTACGCGTGCGTAGAACTTTTTTTGTCTTCCATGCGACGTTTCCCAACAAGGGGGACTCACCACATCGTCTCCTGGTCAGAGGGCTGGTCTGAGGACGCCCATGGCAGTTCACTAATGGGCCACTTCAGGCAACCAATGACATATACAAGGAAGATTCCACAAGATTTAGTGATCAAGACAAGGACTCCTCTCCACTGACGTAGCCGACTAGGATTCTTGTTATACAAGCCGATGCCAATCGATAGAGGATTATGAGATCCATACACCCATTCATCATATCCCTAGGGTTTAGAGCACAACTTACGATTTTGAGGTAGATCAACTCTGTACTTCGATACATCCATAATATAAGGAAGAGCAGGGTGTAGGGTTTTACCTCCATAGATAGGGCCCGAACCTGGGTAGACTTTGTGTGTTCTTCTCTTGTAACCATCGATCCGATCTAATAGCTCGGGCCCCCCTATCCGAGATCTGCCAGTTTTGACACTGACATTGGTGCTTTCATTGATAGCCTCTTGTGTGATCGCAAATGATCGATGGCTGGTCTGCAGATAGACATCAATTTTTTTTCTAGATAGTGGATTCGTGTTAGTGTGCAGATAGACATCATGCTTTACCTCCGTCTAGGTTTATTAGCCTCCCTTTTATTTTGAGCCAAAGTTTGACTATGAATTTAACTAATAAAATGCAAATTATATGTCACAAAAATTATACCATATAAAACATCTTTCAAATACAAATCCACAATATAGCGTATAATTTGTATATTTTTAGTCAAATACATGTTCAAAGTTGGATCCAAAATACAAGGGGGTCTAATAAACACAGACGGAGGTAGTAGTGATCTATGTAGTCCTTTACAATATGGAGGAGTGATCATGCTTAGTTTCAAACTTTTGGACATCACATTTACATCATCTGGTTAAAGCAACAAGCAGCAGCTACGATGGCTGTAAAAATCTTCTCTCTCCTTCTCTACAATTGTGTTTACATCATCAATTTTTTCATCATTTGTTGGAGATTCTTTAAGAAAGAGGAAAGAAGTCCATTTTCACCCCTAAATGTGCCTCAATGGACAAATACCCCCCTGAAGTCGACTTTGGTACAATTTTGACCCTGAAATCTTCAAAACCGGATAAATCTACCCCAAGAGCGGTTTTGTTATGATTTTGGTGGTTTTGGAGATGACATCGTTTTCGTCCTCTCCCCATCTCTCGTGTGCCATTCATCGGTCCGCCATGGACGCCGCCGCCGAGGTGCTACAGCGTCGCCCCGGATACCCCAGCCTCCTCCTTCCCCTCCTCTCCCTTCTCTCACCCTCTCGTGACGGGAAATTGCGTGCCCCGCACGCGCCCGTGCGGCGGTCACCACCGTCGCCGGCGCCACCCACACGACCATCGACCACCTTGAGCCACACCGCAACGTTAAGAAGATTCCCCGCACCTCCCTCTTCTACTATGCCAAAGTGATTGGTACGGGTCACCTCCCGAATTACAGCGTGGACATCGTCTTCCTCGTTTTTGGCTTGCCACCGTTGTGCATGATTCCCTAGCTATGAGGATGCCCGACGCCTCTGCCGCCTTTCCTGAGCTCCCCTCGGTGTTCCCAACGCTGCTGGCGCCTCCCCGGCAAGCCCATCGACCCAAGCTTCGTCCATCGTGGATGGCGCCCGGCACCAAAGGGCAACACTTCTGACAGGCGCCGAGACATAGTCGTCGTGCTGCTTGCGTGGGAGATGTGGCCCGTGGAATGGAGTCGATGATGCCAACACCGGCGGTAACATCTGCCGCATTGGAGTCGTGTCGCACTACAAAGATAGACGGCTTGATCTTATTCTTGGACCATGGAGACGCTCCCCGCATGCTGGTTCAAGGCCATGATGGCGCAAGCCCGTCACCCTGGAGGGCGGCCGCTCCACCGCCATTGTTGTGCTTCCCGTCAAACTTGGCCACCAATCCACCATGGAGTCAGTTGGCTGCTGCTGAGGCTTGTCCGTGGTGGCAGAGGCTCCTCTGTGGTGAGCGAGAGGCCCAGTTGTCGATCGTCCCACCAACTGTTCGTCAATAGTTCGATTCAACGTGCTCTGACTATTTTCAGCTAGTGCCTTCCTTCTTTCGTCCTAAATTTTCTACCATGCGTACAAATTAAGATTCAACATCAGGCTGCATGCCAACAAAAGACCGGAGCCGCCCCTGCGGAGGATGAGGTCGCTGATGCCATGCCAGCTGTTCCTCACAGCCATTGGAGTTCAATCCTGATTTAACGAAGACTGCCTAAATTGATCTGGTCATCCCTTATTTTTGTTGGGTTCAACATCCTCACAGCCGAAGGGTAAAAGAAAAGTGGTCAACATCGTAATTATCAGTCAAAACCACCTGAAATGTGACACGTCGGCCCCAAAACTGTTCAAGGGCTTGCCGGTTTTGTAGATATTGGGGTCACTTCAGGGGGTTATGTGTCCGTGAGTCCATATTTTAGGGTGAACTATGAACTTCTTTCAAGAAAGAGAGTAGTTTTTTTAGACAAAAGAAATAGAGTTTTTTTTTTTGAGGATTACAAAAGAAATAGAGTAGGCGAGGGAGGATTCCTTTTTTTGGTGGGACCTTGAGGAGGATTCGACTTGGATGTGCTACCTGAAATTCACTGGGCTCGACTAACCCGCTATGCTGGCCATACGGGTCATGGCCGGGCCTGGCCGGGCTCAGCAGGGCCGTCCTCTGATAAGTTTGTCCTCCTCCCGGAGACCCCGACCGTCCCTCGTCGGGAGAGGGGCCCCGGCTGCGCTCTCCAGTGAGCCTCCACTCCCACCATCGCTCACCTCTCGCCTCACGCACGCAACAGAGTCTCGCTCCCAGACCCCATCACCTCGCGCCGCTCCTCCGCCGCGGCGATGCTCCTCGCCGGGCCGCAGCCCCCTACCCCGCCGCTGCTGCTCCCGGAGAGCAGCGGCGAGGACGGCGGCGCCCACGACCACGACTCCTCCTCGCGGGCCTCGGCCCCGAAGAAGCGCGCCGAGACCTGGGTCCAGGACGAGACGCTCAGCCTCATCGCGCTGCGCCGTGAGATGGACAACCACTTCAACACCTCCAAGTCCAACAAGCACCTCTGGGAGGCCATCTCCGCCAAGATGCGGGAGCAGGGCTTCGACCGCTCCCCGACCATGTGCACCGACAAGTGGCGCAACCTACTCAAGGAGTTCAAGAAGGCGCGCAGCCACGCCCGCAGCAGCGCCGGCGCCGGCGGGAACGGCTCCGCCAAGATGGCCTACTACAAGGAGATCGACGACCTGCTCAAGCGCCGCGGGAAGGCGGCCGCCTCGCCCGCGGGGAGTGGTGGTGGAGGTGGCGCCGCGAAGAGCCCCACGCCCACCTCCAAGATCGAGTCTTACCTGCAATTCGCGGATAAAGGTATGATGCTCCCCCTTATCCTTCTGACTAAGACAGCCTTGCTTTTTGTGCTGAAATGGATAGAGGCATTTCAACTCTTCGTCACAGTAGTATGACAACTTACAACCTCGAGTTTTGACCATAGATCAATGGATTTGGTATGCATCAGTGTAAATTTAGGTACGCATCAATTAGTTATTTCCTGTGCACCGCCAATTAATAGCTGTTAGAAGCACCTTACTGCAGAAATTCGGACATTACAGTGTTGTTTTCTGTCCAGTTCATTGGCTGACTACTGGCACAACATTGTGTAGTAGCATGAAGTTAGTTCATTGCAATTGGTATGGGTCTCCAGCTCGGGGTTGTGTGTCGGTGGGTGCATACTAGATAGCACTATCTGATATGGTTTTGGATTTATATGTGTCTGGTGGGTCTGCTTACTTAATAATGACTGCTGGGTTTAGTAACTGAACATTTGGACTTGTGTTTATATTTGATTTATGATCGATTGGATTTCTGTTAGCTTATGGATTCATGTTCACTGATATCAATCTAGGTTTTGAAGATGCCAACATTCCATTTGGTCCTGTTGAAGGTACTAATATATTCTTCCTCTGCAATAATTGCTACCTATTTCTTTCTGTATCTCATTTTGTCAGCATCTTCCGTGTTTATACCTATGATCTTCCACTTACTTGGCTCAATATTCTGTCAGAAAGTTGTGCCTGCCTAGAGGTTAACATACCAAGCTTGAGCTAAAGTCATTTGTGGACCAGTTGTTATTTTCATTTAATGGGCGAACACACCAAAAATGTTCCAACAATACTGAGTTTCTTGGTGAGGCCTTTTTTTCTCATTACTCGCTAGTTGTAAACTTCATTCTAGAAATAGAGCTGGTGAGGTTTTATAAAAAAAAATTGCCAGATGGTAAGATACATAATTTTAACACTGTTTAGACTGAAACATGGAGATTAAAAACTCTCAAAAGGAGAATGCAGGGAAAGAAATTATCTTTGATTGAAAAGCACAGTTATATCATTGTAAATTAACAAAAAAAGAGTAAAGTGCATTAGAAATCCTATAAGTATGCTGGCAGAGGGTGTCGAGTTAGTCCTAATGAAAGTGCATATTTCAGTCCCAGTAATGCAATAAGTGAGGCATTGCAGGTCCTATCGTGGCTGAATCAGTTCTGACCTCCAAGTGTGGTGGGTTGACCACTGCCAATTAGGCCAGCTGAAGGTCAAATCGTGTGATGTTCAGGGGTGATTCGGAAGCGAGTGGCAGAGCTGCAGCTCCGGCGAATGAAGAAGTGCCCATCTTGCCCGTGTCCCTGCTGACAAACAGGAGAAGGGTCTCCCAACAATGGGAGAGAGGAGAAAGAGGAGGTGGGGTGTTGAAAAAGTGGATAGAGAGAGAGGAGCAGTTGGTAGAAGAAGAAGAGAGGTAATAAATAGGAGGATGGAAAAAAGGATTTATGATTAGAACTTTCAACATTTTTTGTAACTGGAAAAGGTATTGTAACTGCCTGGCGAGAGAGTTTTGCCGCCAAGTGACCCTCAGCCTATGTGGCAGTGTGCTCGACCCACCATGATGCAGGCCAACACTGTTTTGGCCCAGGTAGGACCTTTTGTGACTCACTTATTGCACAGGACACAAATACGCACTTCCGCACTATTAGGACTAACTTGACACCAGTGGCGTAGCCAGAAATAAAACTGTGGGTGTGCACACTCAAAAATAATTGATTGGGCTATTGCCTATTATGATTGGGGGCTGTTTAAAAGGGTTAACTTGGAGAAATTCCTATATGGTAAAAAAATACCTCAAAATTCTGGGTGTGCCGCTGGCTACAGCACTGCTTGACACCCTCGGTATACTTGTAGGACCTCTGTTGCACTTCACTCGTGAAAAAACCTGACATCTAAACCAAGTAGCTCACTAATCAAGGAAAAAAGTCAGATGTGTCATCATGTAAAGATGACGTCTTGACCAGTTTGGTACTAACTCAAACTTGAATTGCACCTTATCGTTTTATTATTCAGTTCATGTATTTTGATAATCCAACTTCTGTCATGAATATTTGCCTACTGCAGTTGTGGTTTGTGAAGACAAGGGATTAGTGGTGATTTTTTTTTTGCCTGTTTCTGTTTTACAGCGAGTCATCCACTTGCCTTAACGACAGCTGATGCAGTTGCAACCAATGGTGTGAATCCATGGAACTGGAGAGACACCTCAACTAACGGTACTGGTTCATACACAATGAAAGTTGAATACATTATAAGGTCTTATGGATTTTCAACAGCATGAAACGGAACGATTGGGAATGCTGCTGTCCAACTGTTCAGTTGATGAACTGAATTTGGTGTTTAACTGGATTAGTATTTGTTCTGGTTATGTCAATATCTTGCTCCTTTAAGAAACCTGAAGACAAAAATGATTTTAAGAACCTATAAACTTAACGAACTCTTCATAGGTGCAATTTTTAGAATGTGGAAGCACCAGTTGATAGTATTATTACTCGCTGGCTTGCTGCTACTGATTTAGTGTATTTCTACTTGATAGGTAACACATAAATTTTATTACTATGTTTTAAGGTGCTAGAACTTTGCTTGGATGGAATCAACACTCAACTCTAGCAACACAAATTAGCACTGAATAATAACATTCTCAGGTCAACTCAATTATTTATGTTCCTTTTCTTAATCTGTTGCATTGATTGGGAAACCTGCATAAACCTCATACAGGTGGAGATAATCAGGGTACTTATGGTGGGAGGGTCATCCTAGTCAAGTGGGGTGACTATACTAAAAGAATAGGGATTGATGGTACTGCCGAGGCAATTAAAGAGGCCATCAAATCGGCCTTTGGATTAAGAACAAGGCGGGCTTTTTGGCTTGAAGATGAGGACGAGGTTGTTCGTTCCTTGGACAGGGACATGCCAGTCGGAGTATATGCTCTTCATCTTGATAATGGTAATTGTGAAATGTATTATTTTCCAAGAAATAAGATATTTTACTTTTCTTATCTTAATAAGAACCAAAAAGGACATAGTATAGTTCTATGGATCATTGATAAATTATTGTTCATTTTTCCTTCCTGACTTGATGAATTTTGCATCTATCTTGCATCATCTTGGTCACTGGTCAGTAATCGGTAAATCTTCTATGCATACTAATGGGCATTCATTTTGATGCTTCTAGTAATGATCATGATGGCCCCACTAAAATGAACCTATTCGGCAACCTGTGTTTGTATGCACATTGTTATTCAAATTGTCTCAATATGTATGAAGCAAAGCAATTGTTGGTTTAATCACTATTGAAGTTCTTTTTAACTCCATTACAAAAATTGTACTCGCTCCATTCACAAATATAAAATGTTTTGGATATTTTGATATGGACTACATATGGACTGAAATGAGTGAACAAACAGACTAAAACGTGTCTATATACATCCGATTCACAAAAAAGTTAGAACACCTATATTTGTGAACGGAGGAAGTGGTTACAGAAGGTTGTCGATCCAATCTCATCCCCAGATGTTCATTTCAGGGATAACAATCAAACTCTGCACATTCGAAGATGCAGACCGCATGACAGTCCGGACAGAAGATAAGACATTCTACACTGAAGACGACTTCAGAGATTTTCTGTCACGGCGTGGTTGGACACTCCTTAGGGAGTATAGTGGCTACAGAGTTGCTGATACTCTGGACGATCTTCGCCCTGGCGCGATTTACCAGGGGATGCGCTCGCTTGTAGATTGATCATGCATCATTTGTCCGACAAAGGGCATCTATATCTGGGGTATGTTGGTTTTGAGCCCAAGTTCGCCCTGCCAAGGTGGAGAGGGTTTTGCTTGCCCATTGCCTGTGTTTTGGCCGAATGGGCAAGTTTTTGGGCTATGATAATAAAAAATAAATGGGAAAACACACCCCTAAATTAATGTCCACCATAGAAGTGGTCCGTCCATACAGGTGAACATAGTTCGAAGCCAGTCCTAGGCATCCCTGACTGTAAATGTATTCCTGTATTCGGGAGCCATATATTTTAAGACTATAGGAATGGCTATCTAGGTAAATATATAGCCATGGAAACAAACTCTGTAAGGTTTCCCGAGTTCAATTTGCTCGGTGCTGTTGTTGCAGGAGCCACGACCAGGCTGTTTGAGATTCATTCAATTGCTTCATGCTGTTGTTTACATGTTGAATGAGGCAGACTGACACGTAAAGAAATATAAGAGCGTTTAGATCACTAAAGTAGCTCTTATATTTCTTTACAAGGGAGTAGTTATTTGGCAAAACTAACACATAGGGTTTTGTTTGGCAAACTTCGCCTCAGAGCTTGTGCGTGGAAAACGGCAGGCGATACATCCAATTCAGGTATAACATAACAGTACTTTTTTTTTGAGAAATAACAGTACAGGTTTTGGTAGAGGCAGGGGGGCAACAGTACGATAACGACGGCCAGACGTGAATGAACGATTCACACAGAGCTTCACGCCTACAGGGGATGTCTGGACGCTCCACCCACAGGTCACTGCTCGTCCAAGTCGTCCACCTTGTACGACACCAGCGTGTCCACCTTGTGGATCTGCCGTCACAGAAACGCACCATTAGCATTAGGTTTCATGGAGCAGTGCAACCACCAATGGACGGAGGATGAGTGAATTGTTGTTGTTACCTTGGTGTCGAACGAGTGCAGCTTCACCATCTGCGGGTTTTCGATGAGCTTGGCGTCGCTCTCCATCCAGGTGAAGGGCACGGTGGTGTCCGAGTCGGTGTAGGCCAGCACGTCGAATATGCCTGCCCAAAACGATCGACGCTTCAGTTAAAAAGGGAGTGTGCCCCAACTAAGAGCGCAAGGTAGAACCAACAGGGTGTGGAGCAATGGCGGCGCGGCTCTGCTTATCCTTCCTTACATGGCTCATCGAGGCAGGGGAGGAAGGAGATGCAGGAGTTGACCTGCCGCATGATGGCCTGGATCTCCCTCATGATCTCCTTGTCGCTCTTCTCCTTCACCGCCCTGACAAGCCATCAGACGCGTCAGATCAACCGCTGTTTCTTCAGTTCGATTAGGACTGAATGGAATAATCGAAGAGGCAGGAAGGCGGGGGGATCAGAGCGGCGTATATGCATACCCTTTCTCGACGACCTCGCCGTCAGTGATGATGTTGAAGTTCCAGCGCTCGAGCACCTCGCCGGTGGCCTTGCTCATGATGACCAGCACAATCCTCTGCAGCTTCCCACCCTCCAGCCACTCTGCGGTCCGCAGCAACATACAGGTGAGGAGCGAAATAATGGATGCTCCTTCCTCGATGGGCAAAACAAGGAGGTAACGAGAGATCTCGGATGGGGAGGACGAGCCTGAGAGCTGGGAGGTGAGGTTGGTGAGGAAGGTCTTGACGGCCTCGTCCTGCGTGAGCAGCATGGGGAGGCCGTACTTCTTCACCTTGCCGAAGCTCTCCTCCGGGTACACCCCGCGGTTGTACAGGATGCTGCAGCCACACCAAACACCACGAATCAATCCCCATTGCCGAAATTTGGCTCTTACCCGCTCCATCTCAAATAAACCGGCGTCGGGGATAGAGACGACGCCGCTGTTTGCCGGCCCGTAGCGCACCTGTTGGCCGCGTAACCTGCCACCGAATCATCCGATCAGACACTGGAGAGGGGAGGATGGGAAGGGAGGGATCGGGTGGCGGCGCGCGCGTACCGAAGAACTCGCTGACGATGGCGGCGGAGCCCTTGAGCGTGATGATGTCCTTGGACGCCGTCCTCGACGCCATCTCTCCTCGGCCTCGGTCGTCCTCGCGGCGGCGCTTTGCCTTCTTCGCGCTCTCTCTCTCTCCGGCTGTGGGTGCGGCGGGCGAGGAGTTGGCTCTCGGGGGAAGAAGAAAGGGGAGCAACGGGCAGCGAGGCGGCGGCTGGGCTATGGAATGGGGACGGGAAATGGGGAAATTGGGAAGTCGGGTCGCGTTTTCGAAATGGATCGGTCGATTTGGTGGATGCGCACGGGGCTGCCTTTTAAAGTGGACCAGACCGGACCGGCGCCCCCCAACGGTCGTCTGTGGGTGGGTGGTGGGCCACTGCACTGGGCTTCGGGTGCGCGATTGCTGCTGCCAAAAAGTTTCCTTGTTCGGCTAATGAAATCTGATGTCTCAAAAAAAAAAAGCTAATGAAATCTGAAATGTATCCAAATCAAAAAAAGAAACTGAAATGTATCTGGTCACGAATCGAATGCACAGTGGCGCGGACAAAGATTGTTTCGACTTGCTTTATTGACTTGTACCCCGAATACAAAGAAGAAGAAAATGGCTTTCGGGGACAACAGAGTGATGAGTGAGGAGGCCAGCTAAACTCCACATTCGCCGTGGGAAGAAATAATATGGTTAGAAAGAAGAGCATAGTTCCCGTTTTTTTGGGGGCGGGGGGACACGCTTCTCGCACGGATCTGTTGATTCAAATACGTTGGGCATGAGTAGCAGTAGAAGGCTGCAAGCATGTCCACTGCATTCTCTTCCTTTGGCTCCGTTCTATTTTTCCAAAAATTCATATTGGTTGGACTTCTTGCTTTGG